GGGTGGTTCTACAAATTATCAGAATCATATAACAAAGTACCCTTATAGAACATTCTTCACGTCACAGAGAAGGGTGGTTCTAGAAAGTATCAGAGTCATATCACAAAATCCCTTATAGAACATTCTTCACGTTACAGAGAAGGGTGGTTCTAGAAAGTATCAGAGTCTATCACAAAATCCCTTATAGAACATTCTTCACGTTACAGGTGATTCTGATAATTTGTAGAACCACCCTTCTCTGTGACGTGAAGAATGTTCTATAAGGGATTTTGTTATATGCTCATTATAATTTCTAGAACCACCCTTCTCTGTAACGTGAAGAATGTTCTATAAGGGATTTTGTTATATGCTCATTATAATTTCTAGAACCACCCTTCTTATAACAAAATCTCTTATAGAACATTCTTCACGTTATAGAGAAATAAAGTGATAGGAAGTATCACAAGTGTTCAAAACACTCGGTGATTCCTGTTTTAATTAGAACGATATTTAAACTCTGGTCGTGATGAAATAACGACTTTTTTCACTCTTTCAATATGGCCGACATGACAACAAACTAGGGTTAAGTTGTTAAACCTCTGTTCATACCCAAGCTACTTTCCCCTGTAAGATATGTTCTATTTTTCACCCTTACTTTCCGACAAAACCATTTAGATCACGCTGCCAATCCCTCACGTTATCTTCGCCCATCAAACCCACATTAGTAGAAGATGCACGACAGCCAAACCTGGAACTGAGAGAGAGAAGACGGTATTGGCACGTGGATGATGTTACATTAAGCTGATTGGTAACCAATAGTGAACATATCAGGTGTTTTACTCTAACGCTCACAATCTGAGTCTCTCAAACAGATTTGAAGTGAAAAAAATCCAAAACTCTAATAAAATACGCTACCATCTCTCAGGAAATTCGTTCTATAATAAAAACGTATATATCTTGAGGTACATTATAACAATAATGCGGTTTACACAACTACACGATCTGTATATATACAATAATAACGTGGTTTACCAGCTCCTACACAACTACATGATCTGTATATATATATATATATATATATAACAATAACGTGGTTTACCAACTCCTACACAACTACACGATCTGTATATATATATACAACAATAACGTGGTTTACACAACTACACGATCTGTATATAATAATAACGTGGTTTACCAACTCCTACACAACTACACGATCTGTATATAACAATAACGTGGTTTACAAACTCCAACACAGCTACACGATCTGTACATATATATAACAATAACGTGATTTACCAACTCCTACACAGTTATACGATCTGTATATAACAATAACGTGGTTTACCAACTCCTACACAACTACACGATCTGTATATAACAATAACGTGGTTTACCAACTCCTACAGAACTACACAATCTGTATATAACAATAACGTAGTTTACCAACTCCTACAGAACTATACAATCTGTATATAACAATAACGTAGTTTACCAACTCCTACAGAACTATACAATCTGTATATAACAATAACGTAGTTTACCAACTCCTACAGAACTATACAATCTGTATATAACAATAACGTAGTTTACCAACTCCTACAGAACTACACAATCTGTATATAACAATAACGTAGTTTACCAACTCCTACAGAACTACACAATCTGTATATAACAATAACGTAGTTTACCAACTCCTACACAACTACACGATCTGATTTCTCTAAATGTCAATACCGCTCCTACATTTAACGAAACTCAAACGCTAACAACACTAAGTAACAGACATTTAATCTCAGAAACAGTGTTCTATTTAAGCTTTCAGTTTTAATCTCAATACTGTATTCTGAGGCAAATGCTAAATACGAAAATAATTTACATAAACGTGAAGAACAATTCACTATTTTTGAAAATATGCATTTTTCTGTTTTAGTTATAAATGTTGCCGCTAGATTTGTCTTGTAGTGTATATACTCGTTTAAGGCTTAACATAATAATTACAATATACTATTTCCCAGAAAAGGGGCCGAACCACTGTTCCAACCATTCGACCAGTATACAGTAGTGTGTTGTCTGTCCGTCAGAAGACACTAAAATGACGTCACATAAATGACGCTGCACTTTGTACTGTTGTGACGTCAGTAACAAGTCCGGATGTCATGAATCACGAGAAGAATTATGCACTTTATAAGCTTCAACACAGGATGGCAAATGAGCCTAAAAAAATATATTTGTTACTCTTAATTTTGGTTTTATTTACTCTTGAAACAGAACACTTTCGAGGACTTAACGGAATTACATCTAGCCTATAAATAAACTTTCCACATTTCAGCGGTTTTTGTTTCTTAGACCACTGGACTCGAGGCATCTCCAGTATCTCGAGAATTACCTTTAATAATAATAATACTGCGAGCACGCGCTATTCCACAACGTTTCTCAACCCAAATAAAAGTTGCACGAGTAATTAAACCCACACTATGGTAAGTAGTTCAATGACTGTTGCTTTCAATAACATTTCTTTATTTTTTTCGTAAGTTTAATTTTATAACTCGTATTTTGTTATTGTGTTAGTAGAAAAAATCATTGCGTAACTACAAGCCTAGATTTGTACTCATTCTTGAATGTTCAAATTTATGAAGTTAAATTACACACAAACCGTAAAAATTGCTTTAATAAATGTCATTAATCGTCTTTATTTTATGTTAAGACTACGTCACACACACAAACTTTGATTGTTCATGCTTCAAGCGAGTTCAGAATAATAATTTAACCCCTACATTAAACATTTTCAAGTCCACAGATCAAATGGGTTTCTCTTACCCCCAAAAATTGGTAAATTTCTACATTTTCAGTAATTTTAGCTAAAAAAAAACTTTACAAAATTTTTACACGAATAACACTTCGCAGAAGAAAAAAAAACGATTAAACTATGACAAAAGAAATATATTTTGTTTCTATAGTAACGGCTGTCGTAAATAATAATATTAATAAAATATTTTAAGAATTACGTCAACGACCCCCCCACCCCCCGAGAGATTCGTCAATTAAACTATTCTGGTTCCTTCATCTGTCAAGATTCTTAATGAAACCTTAAACATCGTTTTTCAATACCTTCAGAGACACAATAGTTGTAATTAACACCTTCCCAATAAAAATGGATTCCTAGACATATAACCCCCCTAAGTGGAGAACTGCGTTCCCACTAGTCGTCACACGAGCTTAATCCCCTACTGAAGAGCTTCCTTCCCACTTACAATCTCGCACCCCCCCCCCCTAATAGTCACCACAAAACCTCAAACCTTTCAATTAGAGAATTTCTGTGAAGAATGTTTACTGTTTAGAATATCGCGAAATCTATTCCTTCCCACTTACAGTCTCGCAACCCCTTCCCCCCTAATAGTCACCACAAAACCTCAAACCTTTCAATTAGAGAATTTCTGTGAAGAATGTTTATTGTTTAGAATATCACGAAATCTACTTAAAGGCCTATTTACCATACATATTTCTCTAATTAAATAACTAAAACGAAGACAACTGTTCAGGAGCACTCACCGCCAACTCTTACACTACCCTTATCTGACCGAATAGTAGGATTTGACTGTCACTCTTATAATGCACCCGCTGCATCAAGTGAGAAGATCGTTTTTAGAACAACGAGACGCGAACAATAATACCTCGTATTCACAGTCTGCATACCCTTATCACTAAGCCTGGCCTCGGTGGATAAATAACGTCTCTCAACATTTGCTTAACACTAATTAGTTTTGGTTCCTGTTATCATGAATTTGTAAATTGTTTGACAGTTTTGATTACGTTCGGACGTTTTTTCTGTGTGTTTTTAGAAGACTTACCTTTCCTAAACAGTGCCTCTTGTTCATTGCCAACAAAGCAGCCGCCGCCGCCTGGTGGTCGGTGAACTCCACGAAGCAGTACGGGTCATTTCCAGTCTAAAGATGAAAAACAAAGAAACACAAAAGCTAAATAACTTTACCATGGTAAGTTAAATCAAATGCAAAATATTTTTCATCATATTTCCTGAAATCTCTACTTACTATGTCAAGAAGAACCTTTTTATAACGGCAGTAGTACATAATACGTACTTTTAACACTTCAAGTCTCAAAATGATTCAACAAACATTATAAAACGCCATTCTTCACTTACGAAAAAAAAAAAAAGAAGACATAAAACAGCCACAGAAAACACTATCACCTATCTCGTAATAAAATCTACAGGCTGTGTTGAACTACTGCTGGTTACGGTATGCAGTAAGTTGTGTTTCTCCCATGAATTCCATATATGCAAGCACAGCAGCGTTGTTGACTGTGTCACACAAATAAAAGAAAATGCCCTCGTTACTCCCTTGACTCTTATCAATGGACCAAACCCAGAGCAACATTGCTGAATGTGTCGCAAAATGGCAAGGCCCTCATGACTCCCTTGACTCTTATTATGGGGCTAAACCAAGATGCTATCAATACCACTACTTTAACTATTGGGATGTTACTGCCACTTCCAGAGTTATTCCAGACTGTCTTTATACTCAGACAATAGACCCCAACTAGGGTTATGATTTGTTTTTTCTTTCAGTGACAGGAGCTCAAGTAAATAATAATTAATAATCAGTAGAGAGGTCAGGATCACCAAATCCAAACTTGAAACCAAATTTCCTTCAGTAAAGTGTGAAAAGATTAATGTAACAGACCATGTTTCATACTACATTAGCATAATGAAACTTAGATGAACAGCTTGGCATTTCCCAAAATATTCAAACAGGCTTCTTCCAATCTTTGAATCCTTTAGCTTGAATGTTTCCAATTATCCAGTATTTGGAGCCTACAGCTTAGCATTTCCCAAAATATCCAATCCATGCTTCTTCAATTTTTTGGACTCCATAGCTTGACAGTACTCAAATGCTTCCGCCAGTTGCTTATTTGATATTCCAATCGAAATAAATATTAAATTAGTTTATTTTTAACTGTGCTTATTTTGAAGGTCAACCTCTTTCCTATATTACCCACTAGTTTTTTCCCTTATGCCAAAATCTTTGAGCCAATTTTTCTCCTTACATATGAGATACAGCTGCATGCATGCTCCTGGACCCGATGCCAAAAAATGGCCAAATCTTAAATTGTCCATCAAATGTATCCAGCTCCAGCATTTTGCCAACATGGGAAGTACACCCTGTACCATATATGGACTTTAATATACTTTTTACAAACCCTCCTCTATAAACAGTCTTTACAAACCCTTCCTCTATAAGTAGTCTTTACAAACTCTTCCTCTATAAGTAGTCTTCACAAACCCTTCCTCTATAAGTAGTCTTCACAAACCCTTCCTCTATAAGTAGTCTTCAC